CACCCAGGGTGACGAATAGCGCGACCCTATATATATAAAACTTGCAACCACATCTTTACTCTGAGATTTGATGACTATAATAATTGTTGGATAATGCCATATTATGGCAGAAATATTAAAGGATAGCAAAATGAAACCAACATGACATGATAACCTCAAATAAGGACCATATTCGAAGAACCATTCGGTGTTCGAATTTTTGGATCACTTTCTCTTTTTTGTCTCCTATTTTCAGCACCCGACAAATGTTTTTTAGGCAACATGGCATGTTGATGTCCTAAAATTATGAAAAAAAAGGATACAAAGAATTAGAAATTTATACATCGGATGATTGAAACCCTAGACATGTACGCAGAATGACAAAAAATAGGGTGGTTGAATACGTACTGTGAAAGATTGAATTAGAAAATTATACACTAAAATTACTCCATGTACACTGAAATTAGAGGACGAATCATGGATGAATAATTGATAGTTGAATACTTACTAAAGAATAAAATAAGAAAACTACTAAAATTAGGGTTTGGCGGTGGATCAGGACTGCCGCGCGGATGGACGGACTGCCGCCCGGCGCGCGCAGCAGCGACAACCAGCGGCGGCCGAGGCGCCGAGCGACAGGCCGACGGTCGAGGAGGGGACGAACAACGAATATGAACCGACGAGCAACGAAGGCACGAGCTAATTAGCGAAACGATGACTCGATAAGATCTTGGATTGATTTGTTTCACACAAGCGAAAGGAGCGGCTGTGGCGCCGTGCCTTAGTCTCGCGTGATGCACTGACGCTTCGCTAATCGCTACTAGCTCTATCTGATGGGCCTTTTTTTCTTATCTATTTTCTGCTGGGCTATATACTATGCATGTATACTTCATCATGGGACCCCCTGGACCATCGCCCCTCCGGCCATACCCCAGGGCTGGCCCTGCAACTACCGCAACTTCATGTTTTAGAAGTAACTGCAAGTATCGCCAACTATTGCCGCCTTGCCCTTCCATCTACCTCCCCCACTGTCATGCTGACCGCCACCCCAACCATCCCTCTAAGCCGCACCACCAGTGAACAACTCCGGTGACCCCCCTCACGCGCACCCCTAAGAGATACAGTAATGAGGATGATGCTTAATGAAGCTGTTGCTCCCTCCAAAAATAGATAATGAGAATGTTGCTCCCCCGGCAAGGTCGGCCTCCCCATGTCTGTGACGCCCGGATAATCATGCTACAGTAATCCCACGTTAATGGTGCCACATCACCTCTGTCACTGTAGTTAATCTTGGGTTAATTCGAAACCGCTTCAAAATTCAAATTCAAATTAATGTCAACAATAAAAGTTTTCAAAAATTGAAACAAAAATGTTCGGACAATGCCAAATATGGCATAGGCAATTATGGTGTAGATGACACAAATTTATAAATTGCTTAAATGCCCAAATTAAATAAAACAGAACATAAAAAAAAGGAAAAGAAAGGGAAAAAGAAGAAACCCCCTTCCCCCTGGGCCGAAAGGCCCAGCTAGCCACCGCCCCTGCCAGCTGGCCCACCCGGCCGAACCGGCCCGCCTCCCCCTGCCGCCTCCTTTCTCTGTTCCCCCGACCCGGGTCGGAACAGGGGTGCGTCCCCGCCGCACCCTCTCGCCGGCGACGACGGGGGATAAGATCGCCAGCACCCCCCTGCCTCCTCGATCCCGCCTCCCACTCGCCCCCACGCTCGCCCTCGGCCCCCGAGCCTCTCCCTCTCCCCTCCAGATCCATCTCCCCCTCGTTCCCCACCGCAACCGAGCACCGCCATGGCCTCGCCGCCGTGAATCGCGCGGCCACAGTCGCCGCCTCGCCGCGCCTGCGTGTCCGTCGACGCCTCCATCATCTTCCTCATCCACCGGAGGCCTCAGCTGGAGCGGGGGAGCCCCGAATCGCCGGATCCCCTTCGTCCACATCTCCGGCTGCCGCGTTCTTCACCAACTCCGGCGACACCCCTCTGCTGCTACTAAGCCACCAAGGGCCACCGTGCGTGCCGCTAGGTGAGCTGCCTCCCCCCCGCTGCCCTCTAGCTCCCCTAGCTCACGCTCTAGCTAGCTCGGTGTCACGCCCGAGAGCTCACCACCGCCGGTCGCTTCGCCGCCATGGCCATGGCCTCTGTCGTGCTCGCCTGAGCACGGCATCGTACTCCTGATGCTCACAGGAGCCCAACGCGCACGCGCACACTCCCTCCCGTGCCTCATAGTGTGTTTCCCGTCGGGGGCCCGACCGCGCTGCCGCCAAAGCTCGTCGTCGGCCGTGTTTCCGGCAACCATTTGGTCCAGCGCCACCGCCAAACGACGCGGAATGCCTATGCGGTTCGAACGCAAGTTGTTGCACGCGGTTTGGTGCTTCCTAGCGCGATCCCGATGATGTCCCGAACGACGCCGCCGCCTCTGCTCATCGCCGGTGCCGATTCCGGCCAAGTCCGACCATACCACCACCCCCACTCGACGCGGCATCGAGTGGCCGTTCGATTAGACCAAGCTGCGCGCCGAACGACGCCGTGTAGCGAAATCCCGACGAGGCCCGGGTGCCCCCGCCGCGTTCTGACGTCGCCGGCGGCTAAACGCCGGCCGTCGCCTACGTGGTTGGCCTGGGGCCAACCCAGCGCCACTGCCAGTGGGCCCTGCGGGTCCTAGTTGACTGGGTTGACCCAGTCAACTGCTGACGTGGCAGCTACTGCCACTGACGTGCGGGCCCCATGTCTTAAAATAAATAAAAACAATTAGA